TGGGGAGAAGAGAGCTGGGGGGATTTTTTCTTTCTACAGTCAGGTATTTTAGGTACAATTTACATACAGTAAAACTGACCCTTTTTAGTTGTATTATTCTATGTATTTGGCAAATGTATACTGTGCTGTAACCACAGTCAAATGTTTATTTCCATCACACTGGAAAATTCTCTGTGCTGCCCCTGCTCCCAGGCCTTGGCAGCCACTTTTCTGATTTTCTTCCCTATACTTTTGCCTTTTCCAGAATGTCTTTTCTTTCACTCAGCAAAACGCTTTGACATTCATCCATGTGTTGTATGTACCAGTGATTTGTTCCCTTTTCATTGCTGAGTATGTGCCACTGTATGACTGCCGGACAGTTCATTCATTCACCAGTCGGACGTTTAGGTGGTTTCTACATTCTAGAGATTATGAAACTGATATGATTATTTGTGTAAAAGCCTTTATGTAGGTGTGTTTTTATTTCTCTTGGGTGGGATTGTGGGTCTTATATTAACTTTATTAGAAACTATTAAATTGGACCAAAAGATTCTTATGCAAATCATTGAGGAGAGGCTAACACTACACAAATTTTTTTTTTTTTTTTTTTTTTTTTGAGACCGAGTTTCGCTCTTGTTCCCCAGGCTGGAGTGCAATGGCGCGATCTCAGCTCACCGCAACCTCCGCCTCCTGGGTTCAGGCAATTCTCCTGCCTCAGCCTCCTGAGTAGCTGGGATTACAGGCACGCACCACCATGCCCAGCTAATTTTTTGTAGTTTTTAGTAGAGACGGGGTTTCACCATGTTGACCAGGATGGTCTCGATCTCTTGACCTTGTGATCCACCCGCCTCGGCCTCCCAAAGTGCTGGGATTACAGGCTTGAGCCAACGCGCCCGGCCAACACTACACAAATTTGAAGCCATTTATTAATCAAAACACCCAGATAAGCAAGGCCAGCTGTGGGAACCCAGTAAACACCAATGACCAGAAATTGATGACGCCCAGAGTGTTTGAGGGGAGGCAGTAAAATGGGGACAGCACTGCCTTGGGAGCTTGGACGTGCTCCACGCACTGTTCCCTCCCAGGCCCTGCTGGCTACTCAGTGGCCTCAGAAACATTGTCTCAGGTTCCCAGGCCATGAATCTCTCTTGCCAGTCCATTGGTAACATGAATGGTTAGATGTTAATGTTTACATACACAAAACACAAATTAATAAAATCATTGTGTGTGTATGTATGTGTTGGGGGGGACAGTAAAATTTACACAAAAAGAAACAAATGAGGCCAGGCGCAGTGGCTCATGCCTGTAATCCCAGCTCTTTGGGAGGCCGAGGCGGGCAGATCACGAGGTCAAGATATCGAGACCATCCTGGCCAACATAGTGAAACCGCGTCTCTACTAAAATATAAAAATTAGCTGGGCGTGGTGGCCCGTGTCTGTAGTCCCAGCTACTCAGGAGGCTGAGGCAGGAGAATTGCTTGAACTGGGGAGGCGGAGGTTGCAGTGAGCCAAGATCATGCCACTGCACTCCAGCTGGGTGCCCAACGACAGCGCAAGGCTCTGTCTCAAAAAAAAAAGAAACAAATTATCTGAACTATATTTCAAATAAATAACATACACAGAAAGGGGGAAATAATCCAGGTAACTGTGACTGTTTAGAATCAAGCTTGCCTTCAGGTTCAAGACAAAAAGAACTTGAAACATGTTGAATTCTTATAAGTAGGCACATGAGTTGGTAATTCTGGAACAACATTCTGTACGTTCTAGGATTGAGCAAATAAAATGTTTTGTGGGCTGGACGAGGTGGCTCATGCCTATAATCCCAGCATGATGGGAGGCTGAGGCAGGTTTATCACTTGAGGTCAGGAATTTGAGACCAGCTTGGCCAACATGATGAAACCTCGCCTTTACTAAAAAATATAAAAATTAGCCAGGCATTATGGCAGGTGCCTGTAATCCCAGCTACCCAGGAGGCTGAGGCAGGAGAATCGCTTGAACCTGGGAGGGAGAAGTTGCAGTGAGCCAACATTGTGCCACTGTACTCCACCCTGGGTGACAGAGTGACATTTCATCTCAAAAAAATAATGATAATTAAAATAATAATAATAAAAAAATGTATTGTGGCTAATGGGAGTCAGGTTTCTCACTGTTGGAAAAGGGAGTAAAGGAGAAAAAGTGAAAAGTACCTGGGAATTCTTTGCACTATTTTGCAACATTTTTCTAAGTCTGAAATTATGTTTAAAAATGATTGGACTATATCAGTGCTTCTTAAACTCCCTTGTATTAAAAATCACCTACAGCTTTAGCTAACAATTCAAAACTACAGGACCCCCTTCCCTACTGTGGGTCGTCTGTATCAGTATGTTTGGGCCTGAAAATCTGCATTATACATCGAACACATTTTAAAAGGGCTGAATTCAGTGCTTTTTGAGGGCCCTTCCTTCTGTGTTCTGGAGGAGGCAGAAGCTCAGCCTGTTTTAGAAATCTGTTGCTGAGCATGAAGAGAATGAGCATGACAACTGTTTTTCTGAAATGCATCTTTTACAAGTTGACACATTCCATACAAGAACCAAGGATACATAGGAAAGCTCTAGAGGCAATTTCTCAAGGAGGAAAAAAATCAGGAAAATCTCAGAATTCTTCAAAAGTCAAGTCATCCAGGTATCTTCCAGAGTTAACATCCTTCCAGTAGAACAAGTACCTGCCGGCCTTGGGACCTCTCTGCTTAGCTTGACCTGCAGTGCCTTCCCCTGACAAGCTGACAAGGCTGGTTCCTTTTTGCCCATTAAGTCTTCCTCAAATGTCAGCTTGTCAGAGTGGTCGTCAATTCACATGCCCTATGAGGCTTAGTTTCTTTATAGAACTTAGTGTCTGGATTCCTCTATATATCCTGCCTACCTGCCCAGCCAGAACACTAGCTCCATGAGGGAGGGACGTTGTAGGTTTTGTTCACTTGTGTATCCCCAGTTCCTAGGATAGTGGCCATTCTATACATACGAAGCACTAACTATTCATTGAATGATTTACTGATATACACGTGTATGGGGATCTGTTTCTCATGATGAATGAACACGTTTGCAGTGTGGTAGATAAAACATAACCAAATCAAGTGGCAAACAGGATGACTTTATGATAATAAATAAATTTTATTTATTTTTTGCTCTCACACAGTTCAAGAAAGCCAGACATTAGTGTAAGTTGAAGAACATCGGAGTTTGGAAATAGGTCTTTGCCTTAACGGATTATTGACTAGAAAATCAGAGGCTGGCATTCAAATAATATGTTTTGAAGTGTTGTTGTACAGTGTTAATAGGTGTTTCAAAAGGGCATCATGAACTGGGCACAGCGTGGCTCATGCCTGTAATCCCAGCACTTTGGGAGGCTGAGGCAGACAAATCACTGAGTCCAGGAGTTTGAAACCAGCCTGGGCAGCATGGCAAAACCCCATCTCTATAAGAAATACAAAAAAGTAGCCAGGCTTGGCGGCATGCACCTGTAGTCCCAGCTACTCAGGAAGCTGAGGTAGGAAGATCACTGAAGCCTGGCAGGCGGAGGTTGCAGTGAGCTGAGATTGCAACACTACACATCAGCCTGGGCAACAGAATAGGACACTGTCTCAAAATTTTTTTTAATTAAAAAACATTTTAAAGGGTGCCATAAGGTACAAAATAGGGCAAACGAAGGGTTTCTTGAGCATATCTGACAGTGCCGTTCTGCTCCACCCCACCTTCCTCAGAACCTCTCAGGTGAGCAAGGTTCCACTGGTGGTGGGAGGGGGAGGGGAGAGAAAAAAACAACACTTCCAGAAAGACTTCAGCAGATCACATATTTAAATCACTTTATACTCAGAAAGCCTCTAGATTTCCCACAACGTCCCACCAACAATTACAAATTCACTTCTTTTTTTTTCAATTTGAGGCAGGGTCTCGCTCTGTCTCCCAATCTAGAGTGCAATGGTGCAATCACAGCTCACTGCAGCATCCAACTCCTGGGCTCAAAAGTCCCCCCACATCACCCTCCACAGTAGCTGGGACTACAGGTGTGCAGCACCATAGCCAGCTAGCTTTTAGATGTTTTTATAGAGGCAGTATCTGACTCTATTGCCAGGGCTGGCCTCGCACCCCTGGGTTCAAGCAGTCCTCCCACTTCAGCCTCCCAAAGTGCTGGGACTTCAAGCATGAGCCACTGAGCCACTGCACCCGGCCACAGATTCATTCATTCTTTCTTCCTTTCTTTTAAGACTAGAGTCAAGTATAGTAGTGAGAAGAAGGAAAGAACAAGGAGCTTGATCTATGACTGACTGTGACAATCAATTTAGCTAACTTACTACCTTCAGACCAGCCACAAATTAACTTCTTAAGAAAAAAGATGAGAATTATTTTCTAAAAACTGAGCAATGGAAATGGAAACCCTTCAAAGAGTGAAGGGAGGTAAAGTTGACTGTATGGCTTCATTCATACACATTCAAGTTTAACACAGTTGTAAGGTCTGGTAAATTTTAGAGTAGTGCTTCTCAAGCAAGGGGATGGAGAGGTACATCCCATTAGGAATGTGTCACCCTCCTGACCATAGTCTTTTTTGAGACAATGCCATGGTGAGCAATTGTTATCAATGGAAATGTGTCACATCTCTTAAGTGTAGTGAGACACTTTTTAAAAATTGAGACCAGCTCCAGTGAGGCCTTCAGCTGACTCCCTGCCAACGTTTTAGGCTTTCTGAGATGGCTTGGATGGAACTATACTCACATTAGACATCTAATGCCTATTACTTAATACTTAATGATCATTAGTATATTTGAACCCATTCTCATTTTGCACTGGAAGCTTCCAAATCAGTGTACTGCCAACTGTCGTAAAATTCTGATTTATAACGCTGTCCCCAAAAGTATACAGGACTAATGTTTGCCAAACTTACAAAAATGTTATGAAACCCTTGATCTTATTTTGTTGATTTAACATTTCATTTTCATCATTAAGCATGTGAAAAAGCAACATAAGCAAAGATGAAATAATCCCAAAATCCTTCAGATTGATCACTCATTATTTCAATTTTTACTGAGCTAAACATTATTTTGTTATCTATAAAGGAGAGAATTAAAAACACTGCATGTTTTTGGCATTCATAGAAAGGGGAATTTAAACTTTGAGCTGTTTTTGCCATAAACTTGAAGTTGCAGTAAGATGAACTGGAAGCCCACAGACCCTGCTGTTGTGGAATTCCACTAAAAATGGCAGGTTGTTGCCAAAAAAAACAAATTTTGTCATGCAGCTTGCAATTAATGTGCCAAAAATTTACCAGCCCGTATAATTTTATCAGTCTGTCTTCCCCAGAGGAAGTAAACAAATAATAAAACTAATAAAATCATATTTCTTGACCACTCTCATCCAATATAAATTGTTACTTGTCCTTAGAGGATTAGACAGTGAGCTACTTACAAGGCCATTCAAATGTCTGGGCTAGTTAATGGTAGAGGCAGTAGTCTAAGACATAGGGTATTCCTGAGTCAGCAAAGAGGATCCTGCAATTTGAGGAAGGCCCCCTAAGTCATTACCAAGTGCAGAACAGGCTTTGACGGGCCTCTGTCAAAAGTTGTCTTGCACCGGCATTTCTGTGTTCCCTGGAAACACCATGAAATACTGAACTTTAATCAGTAATGCAAAAAATGAGAAAATGCTCCGTGTTTCAGAACTATTCAGAGTAGAAAACTCTGGAACATAAAATGGGGCTTACACCTTTGTTGGCGAGTTGCTAAAACTTGAGATCAGGCAAAACAAGGCTGAGAGGTCCAATATTTTCTGGAACGTGTAACACTAGCAGTTCTTCAAGTTTGGCCTGTGGCCCTCCTGCATTAGGATCACCTGGGAGCCTTGCTCCAGTGCAGCTCTCCTCTACAAAACCTACATTTAGCCTAGTGAAGCAGAACACCCTGGTTTTCCCCAGGAGTCCACATCTGTTACAAGATTACTGGATGTTTCTGGTTCCCTGTAAAGCTTCAGAACACTATATGTGACCACCCCACTGGCAAGGACATTAACATCCTATGCGCATGGATACTAAATTTTGCAGCATATTTGAAATGCTGAAGCAATATCAAATGTATGACATCCCCAAATATAGCAATTTCCATTGATTGAAAAGGTGGCAGATGAGCACAACTAATTGGGATTAACTCAGCCAACTCTTATAGTTTAACACATTTTACCTGCTCCAAATAATACTTTGCAGATCAAACTGGCAACCAGAAAACAGAGCATAACAGAACACATGACACCCCACGGTGGACTTTTAAGAAAAAAAAAAGTGACAAACTCCAAATCCATGATGACATGAGAACTTGCACCTTGAAGACAGAATGGACTTGTGGGAAGAGAAGACTCTCCTTCTGTTCGCCCTTCACTAGGTGAAGAAGGAAAGAAGACCCCTCCCCAAACAGGTCTCTTCATTCTGGAATGTTTTCCCAGTCCCCAAGGCTCTCAGTGACCAACTTCCTTCCACAGATCCTCCTAGTGACTGACCTAGCTCAATCTCCCACAGTAGTTGACAGGCCACTGCGAGAGCTCTTGAGAGAAGCTTCGCTACATGAAATTTATCAAATGAAGAAAGATTCCTTTTTAAAGAGTAATGCAAAGCTCCAGGGTGATATGCTTAATCCAATTGTTTAAACAGAATTAAAAACCCCATTTTCAGTAATTTTAAAATTAACGAAATGTCAATAGTTTGCTTTAACAAGGACTTGCTTGAACCATGTTCTCCTTTTAAAATCACACACACAGAATCAGTATACATTTAGAGAATGTTCTCTAGCTGAATACCTTTTTGAAATGAATTCATTCAAAAGACACAAAAGACACCAACCGTTATGAATATTTTAGGCCATTATAAGCTGTAACCACCTCCGGCTTATGGTGGTTAAGGTGTTGCAGCTTAATGTTGACATCTGGCATGAAAAGCTTATGGTCTGAATCATGTTTCTTTTTTACGTAATTCTGGCTCAGGAGTCCGATACAGAGCAGCAGAGAAATAAATTATGTTGCTGAGGCTGAAGATGATGCACAGAAGTATGGCTCCAGCTATCTGAGAGAAAGAGAAGGGCTTGGAGGTGGCCAGGAGCCATTCCTTCCTCAGAGTCTTGTCCAGAAGTATGGCTTCCATCTGCAGGTGCGTGGCCAGGATCACACACACATGAAATAGCTGGTGACTGTGACCTACGGCAAACACAAAAGGCCATCAATATCAGCAATTAGAAGGAATGAGTACTGATACATGCCATAGTATGTATGCAAAAATGATGCTATGTGAAAGAAAACAGACGGGAGACCACATATTTTATGATTCCTTTTATATGAAATGTCCAGAATATGCAAATCTGTAAAGACAGAGGGTAGACTGATGGCTGCCTCAAGCAGGGTGAGAATAGGGATTAACTGTGCATGGGTCTGATGGAGGGGACGAAAATGTTCTAAAACTGATGTATGGTGACTTTACTGAAAATATCATTAAATTGTATACTTGACATCAGGGAATTATTGAATATGTGAAATATACCTTAATAAACCTATTTTACACTTGATCTTAGCCAAAAGGCTGAGAAGTGATAATAAGTTTATTTTTATTTTTTTTAAGACGGGGTTTCACCATGTTGGTCAGGCTGGTCTTAAACTCCCAACCTCAGGTGATCTGCCCGCCTTGGCCTCCAAAGTGCTTGGATTACAGGCGTGAGCTACCACACCCAGCCAATAAGTTTATTTTTAAGAAGCAATGTGAGAAAAATAAAAGGGCCACCAGAGAAACCAAATCCAAATTCTTTTTTAAAACAACTTATCTACTAGTCTCATTTTTCAGATGAAAAAATTAGGTACCACTTTCTGCCAAAGGTCATCTCCTGAGAGCCAGCACTGATCAGCTCAGAGTCCCACTTTAATGCTGAAGGAGAAGCTGGCTGAATTTTCTGTTGGCCACTGACCAAGTGGAGCTCTCCTCACTGCTAGTGAATCACAGACATGACCAGGACTCTTCCTCCCTGATGCCATGCTGGACCCAGCTCACATGGTGCTCATCACACAGGATGGGAGCCAAGTAGAGGGCAGTGGGAGTGCACAGGGACATGCTGGGTGGTCGGCAGTTGGTGAGAAAACAAGTCCAATGCCTAGGGTCAGGGGCAGTTTGGAGGACAACCCTCAGACCCCAGGAGTAAAGAGGAGACCACATGTGTTATGGGCTGAATGATGTCCCTGAAAAATACATGTGCTGAAGTCTTAATCCCCAGAATGAGACCATGTTTGCAGATAGGATCTTTAGAGAAACAAGTGAAAATGAGGTCTCTAAGATGGGCCTAATGCACTATGACTGGTGCCCTTATAAGAAAAGGAGGTTAGGACACAGACATGCACATACACAGAGAAAAAGACCACATGAAGACAGATGGAAAGAGCAGCCATCAACAAGCCAAAGAGAGAGGCCCCCATTGAAATCAACCCTGCCAACACTTCAATCTCAGATTTCCAGCCTCCAGAATTGTGAGAAAATAAATTTCAGTTGTTGAGACCCAGTCTGTGATACGTTATTATGGCAGCCCTAGCGAACTAATACAACATAAGAGTTAAATAAGGATTCTCCTTTGGTTTTAAAAAATAATAATAAAAAGCCTGGGCATGGTGGCTCACACCTGTAATCGCAGCACTTTGGGAGGCCAAGGAAGGAGGATTGCTTGAACCCAGGAGTTTGAGACCAGCCTGGTCAATACAGCCTGGCAACACAGGGAGATCCCATCTCTAGAAAAATAGAAACTTCAGTCTTGCACCCCCAGGACCTATCTCAGAAGAAATATTCAATAAATGTGTCCTAGGACTGAAGCAGCCTGGCCACCTCCACGATTGAGCAGGAGCAGAGTCAGAATAAGAATGTAGAAGGGTCGAGGATTCTCAAGTGGATAAGTTTCCTACAGCAGGGAGCTGTGACGCCCCCAGTATCTGTCTCCCAGGAAGAAGATGTGCCTGGAGCTGCCACAGCTGCCTTACTCAGGCTACACTAGTGGGCTGTGTACGATTTCCGAATCTGTATGTGATACAGCAAAGTGGTTTCTTCTCCAGCAGAGAGCTGTGCTCTCAGAACACAGGGCAGAGCCGGTAACTAGCACCTTCTCCAGCTGAGGCTCAAGCCTGTCTCCAGTGGAGCATGAGATAAAAGACAGAAAGAACCATCAGCATTGGATGTATCTGAAATGTGGCTGCAGCAGGAAGAGTGATTTCAACAATCCTGCCTAACAGGAATAGGGAGGAGCTTCCTGTGGGCCAAACCATGCCAGGCCAGCACTTCCCAGGAAATCTGGGGCTCATGGCCAGAGAGGGACTCCCACCTCCAGCAGACTCTGTTAGTTAAGGACTAACAATGTCCCAAATCTTAATGATCTGTCATGAACTATTGTCTAGGAAATGTTCCCCCCAGGGGTGTTTTTCAGCTCTGTACCCCTAGGCCCAAGAGGATACATAGAAATGAAGAAATAAAATGTTAAGAAACCTGAGTGGTAGCAAAAGAAGGCCCAGGGCTCTTTTTCCTGCATCCCCCAAGACTCGCTACACAGCCACCTCTACTTCATCAAGGGGGGCTGGGGAGGTGGACATGGCAGTCAGGGTGCTGGTGACTCCTATTCCCTGGCCTCTCCTTTTCCTCCTTTTTGGAAATGTGCCCTCTAAGCATTTTGCTAGTTACAACCCTTTCTGACACAACAAAAGAAGGAAAGGAGCTAAAACTTTAATCGGATCAAATAAACCACATCTGGCCACATCTCTTGGTGGAAGGAGATGGAAAATCAGGGACAAAATGGGCTTGGGGAGAAGCAAGCTTCCTGCCCTCATGGGGACAATGACTGGCCCTTTGATTCCCATGTACTCATCTAAGGAACTCTCACCCCAAAGTCTTGTTCGCCTCACCAGGAGTGATGCAAGGGTGCCTCCTCCTATCCAGTCCCAGAGCCAGGGCGGAGGAGGCACATGCTGCATGCCCCCGCCACCTTCCCTAGACAGAAAGGGGGAAAGAGCTCTGCCAGCAGGTGGAAACCCCCGTGACCCTGACACCGTCTCTCCACCCCACATCATCTTCAGTGAGCTCAGGTTCATCTGGAGGATGACTCAGCCTCTGTGTGAGTACCGGGTTCCACTCTTGGGAGTTTCTGGTTCAGGAGGTCTGAGGTGGGGCCTGAGAATCTGCGTGTTCTCAGATAATGCTGATGCTTGGCTAATGACCACCCCTTGAGAAACCGCTGCTCTACCACGACTCCTGGCCCCCTCCCACCCACCATGCTCAAGACAAAGACGGACGCTGTCGCCTTTCCCCTTTTCTGCACAGCCCCCTGTCTGGTACCTTCAGAGCCATCTTCATCCTGTCTTTCCTCTTCCTCTCCACAGCTGCCCCCAATGTTCTTTTTATTTTTTCTTCAGATAAGACCTCTCTCACCCAGACTAGAGTGCAGTGCATGATCATGGCCCACTGTAGCCTCGACCTCCCAGGCTCAAGCCAGCCTCCTGCCTCAGCCTCCCAAGTAGCTGGGACCACAGATGCATGCCACCACACCCGGCTAACTTTTGTATTTTTTTTTTTTTAGAAACAGAGTTTCACTATGTTGCTCAGGATTGCCTGCAGCACAGGCTCAAGTAATCTGCCCACCTTGGCCTCACAAAGTGCTGGGATTACATGTGTGAGCCGCCAAGCCCAGCCCCACTAACATTATCAAATGTTCATTTAATAATGGGATTCCATGTTCTACATGACAATAGGACACACTGGCTCCACACTCCATCAGAATGCTTTAGGCTCCTGGGTCCACCTGCCCTCCATCCTGCCCATGCTACCTAACAGTGCACCTGCTGTGGACATCCTGGCCTCTGTCAACTTGCAATGTCACTCACCTTGGCCTCTATCCCTGCCCATCGCTGCCTTTGCAGCTACATGCGCTGGAGTCAGGGACGGGAGCCTTCCCAGCCAGGAGGGCAATGAATAAAGTAGCACTCACCGATGTAGTCAAAGCGTCCCGGGGCTAGGCGCTCTGGCAGGTGCGCAGAGTACAAGAAAGAGGCCAGGAGGGTCATGATCACGTGCTTCTGGTGGTACAAGGTGGCTTCATTCTGTGCACTCTCCCCTGAGAACAGGAATAGCTGCAGGTGTTTGAAGAAACATCAGGCCTTGAGAGGACAGACCTGAGGCAGGCCCTCTTCCTTCTCAGCACCTGGAGCTGGGACTTCGGGGGCTCTGACACCCACACATGTCAGCACACACACACAAACTCCAGAGGCCAAGGCCTCGCCTCCTCAGGTCGGTGGCCTGGGAGAGGAAACTCAGGTACCACGTGAATGGAACTCCTACCTTGAGTGTGGTCGGCTGAGACTCAAGACTATTGTATTTCAATCCCCCAAATGCTCATAAGAGTTTTGGGTTATTTACTTACTGAAGGGGGAAAAAAAGGAAAGAAGGAATGAATGGGAAAGGAAAAGAAAGGTAAAAAATCCTGTTAGATAATTGCTACTCTTTCTGGGGATAAAATGTGAGTACATTTGACCCTTAACATACAGGCTAGGGGCACTGACCCCCTGCAGTCAAAAGTCCATGTACAACTTTTGACTTCTCCAAACTTAACTACTAATAGCCTCCTGTTGACTGGAAGCCTTGCCTGTAACAAACTGTCAATTAACACATACTTTGTATTATACACTATGCTGTGTTCTTACAATAAAGTAAGCTAGGGAAAAGCAAGTGTTACTGAGAAAATTTCAAGGAGGAGGAAGAAGAAAAGGGTTGGTCTTGCTGTCTCATGAGTGGCAGAGGTGGAGGAAAATCCATGTTAAGTTCAAACCTGTGTTGTTGAAGGTACAACCGTATAGTAAGAAGTGGTTGATTCAAACCAGAACCCGCTTTTTATCAGCACATCCACTGAACTGGTACTCCTAATTAAGGCTTTAAGGCCTAGAAATCCTTGACAGGCCTTCTGAATCATCCAAAAGTATCAATCATGGCCACTATACTGTTTCAGAGCTACATACAGTTTTTGTATTATTGTTATAAACAGCCGTAGTACCTAGCAGTTACCAAGGGCAGCAGGCCAGGCCTCTATCATGCATCGTTTCATCTGAGCCACAATTACCATAAGGCAGACTCTTACTTTCCCCGTTTTGTAGATGAGGAAAGTGGGCCAGAAAGTGACTTGCACGTCACTTACTCAGAAGCGAAGTCCGCATCTGAATCCAGGCAGGCTGATTCCAGCATCAACATCGCCACTTAGAATTGGACCTTCCCTTCCCTCTGCCCTCCTCTGACTCAGCCACATGCCAGAAGCACACGGCGTTTGTCACAACATAGGACCTGCACTGCCTGATTTGGAGGTGCATGGGACAGAATTGCTGTGCCTGCTTTCGGTTTCCTGTGTGTGGTCTGCGCCGAGGAAGGAGTAAGGGGAACGGGTGGCACCTCCATCTTTGGGGCTCCCTCAGATCCACAGAGGCAGAGCACAGAGAATGTGCTCAATGCCCCAGCTTCTGGGTGGAGCTCTGCCCCTCCCCATGCCCCTCAGCCCTGCCATCTGGGCTTCAGTCTTCAAACCCACAGGACACTGCCTCTAGGAGGGAGCGTCACTGGGTACTAGACAGGCACCGCAGGGCCTATTAGATCCATTGTTTTGATTAATCGTCATTACCCGATACAAAGGAGGGGCTGGTACTCTCAGGTACAGATGAGGAAACTAAACTGAGGCTCAGAGAGTTGTGTGCCCTGCCTGAGGTCACACCGCCAGTGAGCAGTGGGACCAGAATTTGAACTCAAGCTTATATGGTTTGAAAGTGCATGGACTTTCCCCTTCTTGTCCTGCTTGTTGTCCCTCCTACACCCTTTTCCTTTATGGTTTCCATCTCATTCCCATCACACCTTTAAGACCCTCATTCATACCTTTTCCTTCAATACTAACCACATACTACTTGATGATAGAATCATGCACTCCCAAACTCCTGCTACCAGTCAGCACTTTACCTGTTCTCCGTGTCACCCTCCCCATGGCCCATGAGGTGTAATCAGGCCCAATTTACAGATGAGGGAAATCAAGGTGTAGAGAATTTGCCCAGGGTCTGACAGCAGGTATTGGAGATCTGCCTGCAGAGCTCGCCCTCCTGCTCACCCCAAAGCCCCAGGCTGCCTGCTCACCCCCAAAGCCCCAGGCTGCCTGCTCTGCCTGGCTCTCCGACATTCCCAAGCCCCCAGTTGTATTGTCTGTCAGGGCCTCTGTGTTTATGCCATCTCCTAACCACTCCTCAAGTGCCACCAAGGCAGCACCTGGGTCTCAACTCCTGTTTTGTTCTATGGTTCGCATTGCAGTGTTATGAGCTTCCCAGAAGCTCAGGAAGCAACTGACTTCCTGGCATTGCCAACAGGCAGAGAGGATTTGCAGCCAGTCCTTACCCTGTAGAAGATGGGGAGGGAGTCCCAGGTGTAGGGATAAGCAAAGGCGAGGACACGAATCACCTTACAGAGTCTGGGCTTCTGGATTTCAAGAAACCTAAATCAGGGAAAGAAAGTGGGGAGGAAATGGAATGAAAAGCATCTCAGTAAATTACACATGCACATGCATACACACCGAGTGCCTGGTTATCAACAGAGGACAAGCATTTCTGTATAAGCTCCTATGGCCAGCAGCTTCTCCACCAGCCTCGTCCATTCCTCCCACCCCGATGAAAGTGACACAACTTCAGATGCAAAAAGATCTCCAGAGAGACCCCCTCCTGATGTTGGGAAGCAGTGGTGTCTAGACTACACCAGAAAGGAGGTGCTGGGCAGAAACCCTTTGAGGGCCAAGTTATGCAACTGCCAAAGAGCCTTTTAAAACCCTAGTTACTATGGGGACACGGAACAGGTAGGGGGAAAGGGGGGCCCACTGGCACAGACTCTTGGGGAGCACACTGCAAAGGCAGAGATGCACCCATCTAGTTGGAGGCCGGGTATTGTCATGAAGGAGACCTGGGTTCAAGTAGGAATTTGATCCTTGGAGAGCTTTCTGGAATGTTTATACCACACACGGGGATACTTGGCTTGGGAAAACTAAATAAACATGAAGTCTTTCCTTCTCTCCTTCGTTGCCATCCTTACCCAACCTACAATCTAAAGACAGCTGACAGCAACAATAAAACAAGTGACGCCGATTGTTGAGAAGACAGGCAGGTCCCCCTGGACAGCACATGACAGGGCCTCAGCTGACTTGGGCCCAGCCTGGGGCAGCAGCTCAGGGTATCGGGAGCTGGGCAGCACCGAGGGCAGGCTGCACCCTGGGAGGACATGGGGAGGCAGGCAAGGAGGGTCTCTGCACAAAACCACAGCCCAGAACTGAGGCCTTGGTAAGGAAGTGCTCACGGGTGCTGGTTGGGCAGCCAAGGCCAGGTAGTAGGGACAGGTATAATCCCCGCATCAATGCTGAGATGTACTGTGGAGGGCTCTGTCCTCCCTCAGGGCCCATAGGACTGCAGGGTAAGGAACCCAGTACAGTGGATGCAGAGCCACGCACCGAGGCTCTCGGGGTGGCTGCTCTGATGCCGTCTGCAGAGGCAATGCATGCACTGGGGCCCTTTCAGCCTTTGCTGCCAGTTTTGCCCCTCATCACACTCTCTGCAGGGATGGGGTCTGTGTCCTGCTGTGGCTCCCACCTCTGCTTCTAAGAACCTCAGTCCCAGTCCACAAGCCTGTTCTTTCTCCTTCAAATGCCATCTGTATTCCCTCTGAGCCCAGACCCATGTCCCCTGTCCAGGCTGCCCATGCCTCTTATGAGCCAGTAAAGCCACCCGACCATAAGCTGCCTTATCCCTCAGCAAGGAGTATGCAGGGACTCCCACATCAGGCAGCTGTGGAACCCTCCTCAGGCAGGCCCCAGGTCTGGTCAGGCATGGATCCCCGGGACCCAGCACAGAAGCAGGTCTGAGGACGCGGACATTCTCCAGGCTAGTGTGCTCCACTCAGTCCTCAGGGCAACTGAGCGAGCACAAACGGCCACCCAGGGATTCCTGTTTCCGGGGAAAGGGCCAACTCTGTGTACCCCAAGAAGCCCCACAGCCTCCCAGGACAAGCCCCAACTTCACTCCAGCCCACTTTCATGTTCCTTCTTTCCTGACCCTGCCAGTAAGTCACACACGCACATGGCACATACCAGGTGAGAAGCTCAAGGAGAATGGACTCGGATGCATCATCCCCCCCCCCGCCCCAAAAAAAAGAACCACAGCCAAACTCCAGGACAGGTGAGGCAGCACAGCACTGTGATTTCGCGTGGAGGGCTTGATCGGGACACACTGGGTTCAAATCCCGACTCTGCCCTTCACAACCATGTGACCTCGGCAGGTCACTAACCTTTGTGTACCTCCTGATCCTCAGGTGTAACAGAGACAATGGCTGTACCTCGTCACAGCCTTGTTGTAAAGATTTTGTGAAACACTGCCCATCAGGTGTTTAAACTGTGCACTGCACAGTCACACAGACTAAATGGCAGCTCTAAACTTGCATCATGGGGTGCCATTCTGTCTCCTTCACCACCTTGTACCTATGTTGGTCCAGAAAATAGGAACAGGAGGGAACAAACAGGTTCTGGGTGATCTGTCAGAAATCAGACGAGCCAATGAGAAGCAGAGCTAGGATTTAAACCCTGGTCTTTCTGGCTCCCAAATGTCATCCCCTCTGCCTCCTGCAGTAGGCTGGACAGCCTCAGAGCCCGCCCAGCCTTCACCCTTCCCAGCCTGCTCTGCCCCGGAGCAGAGGCACACAGTACTGCTACCTGCCTCACCCGCCTGCCTTCTCAGTCCTCCAGCAGACCCTGACCCGCCGAGGCAGGCCGCCCCCTCCCTCCCTGTGCCCTGCCACCACCTGCCCTCTCTCTGGGTTGACAGGCTTGCTCTTAAGGGCTCCTGTGGCCACTTACACTCGAAGAACTCTGGCTCTGGCTGGCGAGGGCCATCCCCCAAAGCATGGATTTTTCTGTGACTTGAGACAACATTTCGCTCGGCCTGATAAAGTGTTTCCCCAGGGACAAACGGACCAGCCTCTCCAGCTGCAAAGCCGAGTCTAGAGGGAAAGAAAAGAAGGAAAAAAAGCAGAACAGAAGAGAGACAGCAACAGAGAGAAAAAGGCAGAAGGCAGTAGCCTGGGAGAGGGGCCGCCAGCTACCAAGGTGCAGTTCCGCGTCAGGCCACGCGATGTCGCCACAGCCAGAGCAGAGCCACAGCCGTGGATTCCTCGGAGGCGTTCCACGTGCAGCCAGCCCCCTGGTGGGAACAGCCCAGCGTGCTCAGAGGGCCCAGAGGCTGCTGTAAGGAAATCAGGGCTCTGCCCAGAACGACGTTGGCTGCATACACTGGGTTAGAGGGTCGATTCATCACAGCCTGTTCTGAACCCTGACAACAAAGCTGGAAGAATTAGCAACTGAAATTCCAGAACTCGGGCTTGAAACTAGTGGGCGTTTGGAAAAATCGTTCTACTGCAGAGATGCACACACGAATGCATGTGGGGCGGTGGTTATGGTTGTTTTGTTTTGTTTTGAGATGGAGTCTCACTCTGTAGCCCAGGCTGGAGTGCAGTGGCACAATCTCAGATCACTGCAACCTCCGCCTCCCGGGTTCAAGCGATGCTCCTGCCTCAGCTTCCTGAGTAGCTGGGACTACAGGTGTGCCGCCACCACACCTGGCTAATTTTTTATTTTTAGAAGGGGTTTCACCATGTTGGCCAGGCTGGTCTTGAACCCCTAACCTCAGGTGATCCGCCCACTTCGGCCTCCCAAAGTGCTGGGATTTCAGGCGTGAGCCACTGCGCACGGCCTGTTATGGCTGTTTTATTGTGTAGGAGTTGCCTTATTCTGGAGAACTGCAGGAATGTGAACATTTCCCCATGCTCGCACCTGGCCATAGCAGCACTTTATCCTCGGGCCAAGCTTCTGTCTGAGAACCATGCCTGCTGAGCCTTCTACCTCCAGCGCTGACCCCAAACCCCTTCCAGGTCAGCTCCACCCCTTTGAGCTGCCTCAGCAACTGCCAAGCTGTCCTGACAGCAGAGCTCATGGGTGAAAATTAATCTCTCACCCTCACAGCTCTGACCAAGGGGTTTTTCACTCAGCAGCTCTTTGAAAAAAAAAAAGGCAATCAATGGTTGGATGCATTGGATGGAGATGGTCAGTGATTCGTGATACACAGCACTGACCGTGTAACTGACATTCCTGAAGGGACTGGCAGCCCTTTCCAGTGCAGGCTTGAGCAGGCCAGGTCCCCGGCCACCCCCACCTTGCTCCAAGACCCATGAAGAGGGCATGCATTCTCTCATTTCTCCTCTCAAATGCTGCAGAACGAGAAGGCAGTCTTCTGGAACATATTCACTTGAACCAAAGTCCATGATAGTAAGAACCAAAAACCACTCAGGGCATGACAAAGCTCTCTACGTTGAGATTGGCCTTAATGGTCGGCCTTGCAATGGAACAAACGCCATTTCAATACTGGTTTTGTGGCAAGCATAGGATAACGCTCAGGCTGATAATGAGGTTCCTGGTCTCCCCCTGTGCTTCGGGAAGGGGAAGGTGGTTCTTTCCTGCTCCTGCCCACCAGTGGCCGGATGGAGCAGGAGGGAGAGGCAGGGTGGAGCCTGGGAGGGGAAGGCAGCTGGGAGAGGAAACCTGGAGAAGACACTAAGGCCTTGGCATCGCAGGATGCCCAAACCAGAGAGGACCCAGAGGACATCGTCTCAGATGCCCTCGTCGAAGACGCAGACCCTGAGGCCCAGAAGGGACAGTGACTGCCCTGAGGCCACACAGCAAGTCTGGAGGAGCAGGGCTGAAATCCAGGCCCCCAGATGCCCATACCCTCCTCTCCACCCGCTTCTGCTGATTTTAGTCAGGGCCAGCATCACTCCTGCACACAAGTCAGCTTTGTCCCCAGACACCCAAGGCAGAGGCAGGGAATGAACGAGGGGAGGACAGGGCTTGTAAGAGCAGCAAAACCACGGGTGAGGGAACGTGGGGCGAGGACGAGGTGCATAGGGCACTGGAAGGGCCGCAGCTGGAATGCCCGCTGCAAGAGTGTGGCATGTGCCCACTTCCTCCCTTTCGATTCCAACATAGCCCCCCACCTCCCTCTCCCCTCAGCTCCCACTTCAGTTGTTATTAACACACTGGAAACCCCTCAGGGCAGGGAAGCCGAGTGCATAGGATTTTTATTTTTTCCCTTGGAGATTCTCATCCTTCATGAGCAAAGGGCCCATCCTCAAAGGACTCACAGGCCCCCAGCCCACCCTCCAAGCCCCTCTCTAGCTGCTCTCCTCCATCCACCTTGCAGACTCTGGCAGCTCTGATGCACCTTGCTGCTTCCCGACGCTGGCCCACCCTCTCTGCAGTCCTCACCCTTGTCCAGGCTGGTCACTCTGTCCTCCTCTCCAGTAAAAGTGTCCAGCCTCCTTCAATATCCAATCATAATGCCACTTCTCAGAACTCTGTGTATCCCAGCAGCTGGCATTTTGCCTTATCATTATTTGTTTACATTACACTCCTTCCTGCCACACTCTAAAGTATGATGGGCCTTTGGGGGCATCTGCAGTCTGTCTTTCCTATGGCACTGGGTGCTCTCTGAAGGCAAGGGCATCCTCCTGGCACCCCCAGCTGCTAACATAGTACCTGCAGTATGGCAGGCATTTAAGGAATGTTGGATGGGTGTGTAGAGGGGTGGATGGATGGAATAGCCACAGATGTGTTCCATAAATAAATAATCCATTTCATTGGCAAAGGGAGAAGCCCCCAAACTCAGGCACCCAGGAGATGCCTGGCAAAGCTGGCCTGCCAGACAAGTTCCTCCAAAGACACCAGGCATGCCACATTCAGAAGACCCCATCTGTTATATCTGAACCATCAGAGAAGACGCCTGGCTAGAAGAAAGCAAGCTAGGCTGGGCACAGTGGCTCACACCTGTAATGCTAGCATTTTGGGAGGCTGAGGAGGGTGGATCACCTGAGTTCAGGAGTTCGAGACTAGCCTGGCCAACATGTCAAAACCCCGTCTCTACTAAAAATACAATTTTTTTTTTTTTTTTTTTGCTCTATTGCCCAGGCTGGAGTGCAGTGTCACAATCTCAGCCCACTGCAACCTCTGCCTCCCAGGTTCAAGAGATTCTCTTGCCTCAGCCTCTCGAGTCCTCCTCTCCAGCTAAAGTGTTCAAACTCCTTCCAAGCTGGGATCACAGGCACCCGCCACCACACCCAGCTAACTTTCATATTTTTAGTAGAGATGGGGTTTCACCAAGTTGACCAGGCTGGTCTCGAACTCCTGACCTCAGGTAGTCCACCCACCTGGGTTTCCCAAAGTACTGGGATTACAGGCGTGAGCCACGGCACCTGAACTCACTCGAGACTTTCTTTTACACTTGTGAAGCCCTCTTCTGCTCCTTCAACCTATGGTGCTCCCCTGTCTAATCCTAACTTTCAAACACCAGAGCCACACAGCCCTGGGAGAGTCAGGCAGACAGGGGCCGTGACCGGTCCAAAGACCAGGTCCAAGAGCGTCCAGGTTCCTGGACCATGGCCCGTCCATAAGCCTGTGCACCCGGGCACTGTGCCTTCGGGGCTGGCTTCATCTCCGTTGGGCTTCTTTCTGCAGCATTATTTTCTGTGTGTGTTATGCCTCCTGTCATCCATGGCAGGGACTCCTAGAAAGGAGACTTTCACTCACATGGAAGGTAACGCCCTGCTTCCAACCCGTCTCAGCGCAGGTAAATAGAAGGTAAGTTGGAACAAGTATTCCCCATGCTGCTTCAGAATCTATCCTTCCATTTAAAAATACAAAACAAAAACAAAAAATCTGGTTTGTCCAGTTTGTGAAACCTGCCTGCTCTCCCTCGGCCCCATATATCCCAAGTGTCATCCCAAGGAAGTTGGAGGTAAAATCATTCTGGAGAAGTTACCAGATGGGGCACATCTCACCTCCCTGTTTTTTCCTGGGGAGAGGGGGGTAAGTGGAGGCAGGGAGATTCCACTGGCTCGCTGGAGTTATCACTGCGGGGGACAAGGAACTCAGATGTGCCTGCCAGCCTACCTTACCTGACCAGTACCAAAGCCCTCCAGCCCAGAAGTGCCAGCCTTGGCACTATTCAGCCACAGCTGCCACCCCAGCACAACCATGCAGGAGATTTCCTTTAGGGAAAAGGAACTTCCGTGCAGTTTGCTTTTACAGAGAGCTGAATAAACGGGTGTAGTTATTCTTATAACCACATTCCCTGCAGTCATGCCCCAGTGAGTTTTCTTGAAAGAAAAAAAAAAAAAAAAAAAAAAAAAACAGTGGAAATTAGAGCCAGCAAGCTGGGCCTGACTCACAGTGATGGGGGATGCATAGGGCATTTGAATAATACTCATCACCTACCACATATGCCCAGAGGCAGGCACACCCAGTCACCGTGAGCAACCACACATTAGTGGGTCATCTCCTCTGTGCCAGGTTTGTGCTGAGAGTCCTGGGTACCTTACCTGTAATCCTTCCATTTATCTCAGGGGTATTTGTAGCCTTATTTTATAAATGAGCAAACTGAAGTTCAAGGATAAGCGACTTGTCCAGTAATAGAACCAGCTACATAATTTGTAGTGCCTGGTACCAAATCAAAGAGCAGGGACCCCCTTGTTCAAAAATGATTACAGATTGTTAAGAGTGCAGCAGACGAGCCCAGGAGGCTGAGGTTGCACCAGCCTGGGCCACAGAGTGAGACCCTGTCTTGACCACAAAAACAATGAAACTGGCCGGGCGCGGTGGCGCACGCCTGTGATCCCAGCACTTTGGGAGGCAAAGGTGGGCGGATCACCTGAGGTCAGGAGTTCAAGAGCAGCCTGACCAACATGGTGAAACCCTGTCTCTACAAAAAATACAAAAATTAGCCAGGCTGGTGGCGGGTGCCTGTAATCCCAGCTATATGGGAGGCTGAGGCAGAATTGCTTGAACTCAGGAACTGGGGGTTGCAGTGAGCTGAGATCATGCCATTGCATTCCAGCCTGGGTGACAGAGTGAGACTCTGTCTCTAAAAAAGCAACAACAAAAAAAGGCAGCAGAGTATTAAGCCAAGTATGAGACTCTCTGAGCATGGAGGGCTGGTGCTTACATGCCCAGGAAGCTGATTTTGCCACAATGGGAAGTCCAGCTGCAACTGAGTGCTAGGTTCCCAAGCACCCTTTCCACGAGCCCACCTCTTTCCGGTTCCCTCAAAGAGTCCCAGGAGCTGCATGCAAGGCCCTCCCTCCCCTGCCATCTGAGGTCAGAGCCACGCAGTACCTGGAGTAGCAGGAGAGTCCTGTGCTGAGGGTGGCGTTCAGCACAGCCAGAGCCACGTAGTAGTCATGGAAGGTGGTGCACACCAGCGCGTCCGGGAAGGTGTATGCAGAGTAGGCAATGGCCGATCCTGTGGAAGGAAAGCCAAGCTTGGGAGAGGGGCCAGGCCTTGGCACCACGTGGGCCCCTTGCAAAGACCATCCCCAGCATCTGGCTTGGCCCTCATCATTCCCACAGTCCTGACTCTGTGCCCTTGCTTGTGCCATTCTGCCTTCCAGGATGTCCTCCTCTCCCTTCTCTGCTCACCCAAATCCCAACCTGAGAATGTACTCTGAGCCCAGATTTGCTCTAAGGGCTTTACCTATATGACCTCATGTAAGACTTTAACCACCCTCCTTCATAACCCCTCACTTATCCTCATTGTACAGATAGGAAGCTGAGGGACAGAGAGGTGTAATCACGCGCCCAGGGTCCTGCAGCTAGGGAGTTAGCAGAGACGGGCTTGAAACGCAGGCAGTTTAGTGACAGGCCCCGCTTTTAGCCACGTGCTGTGGTCCACGATGACAGACCCAGCGAGCTGAGCTCTACTCAGAGTGTGCACTTCTCACCTGTTCAGGGACATGGGTGCTGCTGGTAGAAGGATCAGTGCTGGAGGGAGGGCCCTTGCTGAGATGAGGATGTCATATCAGCAGCCGGGGGGCAGGCCAGCTGAGAGGCTGGGTGTTGTATTGTGTTTTAGGTTTTGGTGTTTGTGAGAGAAGGGTTGCCTAAGGACCTTCTAGAGACCTGTTTGCTGAAGCATGTATTTGGAAGAGCAGAGGAGATCACTGTCCTTTTCAAAGGGGCCATGCAGCGATTACTCCAGAAATGCCCACACTTATCAAAACAAGCCTGGGGCGGGTGACCGAGGGCCAAGAAGCTGCCCACGGAAGGAGTCTGGAATGCTTCCAATGACAAGGGGCCCCGTCGGTGGAGGGAGAGGTGGTAGAAGGTGTCATCGAAGCCTCCAGGGGCCAGGTGAGGTGGAGGGGATGTGATAACCGTGCAGGTGAGAGGCCGGGGCCTGAGTCAAGACAAGGGGGCAGTGCTGCTTACAGCAGGTAGGAGAGAAGTCACCTGGCCTTAATAACCAATTGGCCAGAGGGTAGGTGGGGGCAGGGAGTGAGAGGAAGGGGAGCCCGAGGATTAGTCAGACTTCTGACTCGGGAGAATGAGTAGGGGCGCGGCCATCAGTCAGGTTGGACATGCAGAGGGGTAGCAGGTGTGGGGGCCGGGGCGGGAGGAGGCACGGTTCTGGTCTCCTGGCTCCAGGTGGCATGGACCTCAGGTAGGAGGTTCACACTGGAGATGGGGTTTCTCCAGAGGTGGGGAGAGATGCAGTAGGCACAGAGATCCCCAGGGAGCTGGATCGCGTGAGAGGAGAGGTCAGAGAACCACTTCTGAGCCTCTCCACCCATATATGCCGGAAAGCAGAGGAGGGGAGCCAGGCCAGTGGAAGGTGGGAAGACCCCCAGGAGGGAGGGAGGGACGTGGCACGGGCCAGAGAAAGAGGGGCAATCACGGCAATCCCGGCAGTCAGGAGGCTGGGACCCTGGACAGGGCACATACCTTCCCTGCTCTCTTCTGCAAACCCATCAAAGTCTGAGGGTGACCCTGGCTCATGGGCGAAGGGGCAAGGACTGGTGAATGCTGGGGACTGGACAGCAGAGCACTGAGGAGTTGGCAGTGAAGTGGGAAAGTGTGTGTGCATGTGTGTGAGAGTGTATGTGAGTGAGCCTATGTGTCTGTGAGTGTATGTGTGTAAGTATATGTGTGGCATGTGTGATGTGTGTGTGGTGTGTGTGATGTATGTGTGTGTATATGTGCATGTGAATGTATTGTCTGTATGTGGTGTGAGTGTATGTATTGTATGTGTCAGTGTGTATGTGTGGTGTGTGTGCATGTGAATGGTGTGTATGTGGTGTGTGTGTATGCAAT